CTCTTCCCGTGATTTCTTCCATCCCCTAAAATGTCAGTGGCTTGTAGTTTCTGTAATGGGATTATGAGCCTCAGCTTCTTTCTCCTGGCATATTTCCTTCTTCCATAAGTTTCCATTTCTTTTCTCTGCCTACTTCCCCTGGTATCTGTCCAGCAGAAAGTTCTTGGCGTCTGTCTCTCTTTCTTCATTGATGGCCCCCATGAATGGGTGACTGTCTGACAGGCTCCCACGGCAGCATTGAGGACATTCTCTCTATAAGGTCTGGTGCTGAAGTCCACCCAGGCAGCGGGTCTCGGGCTGGCTTCCAGTTCTGTTCTGTTTTTTTGTTTGGGGAGTTAGTTGTTTTTGTTTTTTTTTTTCTTTCTTTCTTTCTGTTCTTTGTTCCAGATGCTGTGGATCGAACCCAAGGCATCATACATATGAGGCATGGGATTGCCTGCTGAGGGAACATCCCGGACTGATGGGGGTGTTTTCTTTTGTTGTAGGGCTCCCCAGGTATCAGCCCATTGCTAAAAAAGAAGTTGTGTTTACCTTGCATGCGGCCGACCCAGGTCCGATCCCCAGCATCCCTTATGGTCCCCCAAGCACTTCCAGGAGTAATTCCTAGGGTGTGACCCCCCCCCCCCCCAAGAAAAAAAGGAGTTAGAAGTTGATCAAAGGAATAAAATCTTGTTCCCAAAAAGCAAACAAAAAATCTTTCCGCCCCCTTACCAAAGTAGTCAATTGTAGTCAAAAGTCAATTGTATTTGAAATGAGGATCTACTGGAAGTTGGTCTTAGGGCATAGTTGTAGAGGTGGCAACTTTTTTTTTTTAATTCTGTTTTGTTGGGTCACACCCGGCGATGCACAGGGGTTACTCCTGGCTCTGCACTCAGGAATCACTTCTGGCAGTGCTCAGGGACCATATGGGATGCCGGGGATTGAACTCGGATTGGCCGTGTGCAAGGCAAATACCCTCCCCACCGTATTATTGCTCCGGGCCAAGGTGGCAACTTTGGGGTTTGTTTTTGGTTTCCACCCAGCAGTGCTCTGGAAGTACTCCCATCTCAGTGCTCAGGAAGTCATGCAGGTGATCTGAACAGGGTCTCCCACATGCAAAGCACGTATGCTAGACCATTGAGCTGGCTCTCAGGGTCCCTAGACATGGGACATTTCCTGCCCAGTTGGTTCCCATCAGCCTGCCCTAGGAAGTGCTCTGGGCCTTGTCACTCGATGACCATGTGCCAGCATCCCCGTGACCCCACCATGTGGTGCCATAGAACAGCTTTGTCCGGGCTGCCAGTTGTCAGAAGTGTCGCTCAGCCTGAAGCCAGGGCTTCCTGGGACTGGAGCTCAGCCATGTGGAAGCATTTCTCCTTCCCAGGAAAAAAATGATGCTGCTCGTTCAGTGCTTTTTTGTTGCTCTGGACCTGATTTGTGGTGATTTAGGGGTGTGCATGTCTCAAAACAGTGGGGCATAGAGGAGGGGGGTGCCACACATCACACTGCCGGGCTCCTTTGGAGAGGTGACCTGGCCCTAGGTGGGGCTGATGGGCTGCCCCAGCCTCCAGCTCAGCAGACTCGCCAAGAGCTGAGTAGACTTCTTGAGAGACGGGGTGAGTGGTGCCATACCACAGCTCAGACACAGAGTGACAGGTTCTTACAAGAGCAGCTTCCGGGGATGGTCCTTAAAGCCGTCTGAAGGAATCAAGGTTTTGAGACCCAAGCGTGTGTGGGCATTGGGACTGGAGTCGACGTTTTTTTTTTCTTTTGGGGTCACAACTCGTGATGTACAGGGGTTACTCCTGCCTCTGCATTCAGGAATTACTCCTGGCAGTGCTCAGGGGACCATATGGGATGCTGGAAATTGAAGCCGGGTCGGCCACGTGCAAGGCAACCGCCCTCCCCACTATGCTATTTCTCAGCCCCCTGGAGTCAACCCTTTTTTATCTTTTGTTTTGTCCCCCTCTTTTGCGGGAGGGGAGGGTGTTTTGGGTCACACCTGGCTGTGACTTCTCCTGACTCTGTGCTCCTTTATCACCCTGGAGGTACAGGGGACCATAGACCTGGATTTGAACCAGGGTCAGCCGCCTCCAGGCTTATGCTGTGCCCCACCCTGCCCTTTCTTTTTCGTTGCCGTTGATGCATTGGGCCGGGGGGGGGGGGGGGAATCTTATACACAGGCCTGTGGTCCTTACACACTTGGTTGTGGTGTTGGCAGGATGGTGCATCTGCTTGCACATGCAGCAGAAGACTCGCCAAGTGGGGCTGTCCCATGGATGGCTGCCTTCATGTGGTCATTGTGTGTGCTCATCTGTGTTCTGGCTCTTGTGCTCACACCGTGCTCACCGTCGGGGTGGTTCGGCACACTCCTGGTCATGATACCAAACTTCCTTCCCTGCCTTTTTGTCTGTTTGATTTTGGTTTGGGGGCCACACTCAGTGGTATTCAGGGGTTACTCCTGGCTCTGCACTCAGCGATCACTCCTGGTGGTGCTTGGGGGACAATACAGGATACCAGGGATCAAACCCTGGGTTGACCGCATGCCAGGCTGACTTACCAGCTGTACTATATCTCTCTTATCCCTCAAACGTCTTTAATTGTGGTGCTCACTAGGGCTCACATGATGGCATTGTGGGCACACCTGGCTGTGGTACTTAAGCCAGCCACTCGCCGGTGATGCTGGGGGTTCCAAAGAACAGAGCTGCCGGAATCTCGCTAAGCACTTGGGGTCGCACCAGCAGTCAAACTTGTCTACAAGGCAAAGCGTTCTTGCCGTGGTGTCATTCTGCAGCCCTAGTGTATCCCATCTCAATTGGTACTTCAGTAAGGGCCCTCAAGGCCAGCAAGCCAGTATGACGGGGAGGGTGTTACTGAGCAAAGCTGGAGAGGCAGTGGGCAGGGCTTCCTGCAGCACTGGGGTGGGGTGGGGGGGCAGGGTCCATCACTTTTATGAAATAAAAAAGATTTTTTCCTTAAAAAGTCCTTCTAGGGGTTGGAGCAATAGCACAGCGGGTAGGGCATTTGCCTTGCACGCAGCCGACCTAGGTTCGATTCCCAGCATCACATATGGTCCCCCCAGGACCTGAGTGCATGAACCAGGAGTAACTCTCCTGTGCATCGCTGGGTATGTCCCAAAAAGCAAAAAAAAAAAAAAAAAAGTCCTTCTAGTCCAACCCACTTGTTTTAACTACTCAGGCCAAGGCCATGCAGCAAGGACCAGAGAAGCTACTTAGGCTAGAACCTTCTCCAGGGTCTGCAGCCGTAGTATAACTGGCAGGGTGGTAGCCTTGCATGCGGCCAACCCGGGTTCAGTTCCCCAGCATCCCATTGATGCGGTTCAACTCTTTAGTGGGGCTGGATTCTTGCAGGGCAGGACCCAGGGGTGTCCCAGGGAGATCCTCAGGCTGGATTCTGATTTGGTAAGTTGTGCGTGCTATTTCAGGGCAGAGGGATTTGTTATATTGGGCGAATAGAAGGTAGTAATAGGCTTTGTGAGCAGTAGTACCAGATTCCTGGGATGTTCCAGGGGAACGGGATGTTCAGGGTCCCATCCCATCCTGAGCCCCACCAGGAGTGAACCCTGAGCACTGAAACAAGGAGTCAGCCCTGAGCACTGCCAGCTGTGGCCCCAAAGAACACACACACACAAAAAACGAAACCACCTCCAGCCTACCTTAGACAAGCTACAAACTGGTCAGGGCCTTGGAGTTCTCATCTGTGAGGAGTTGAACCCAGTTTCTGAGGCCCTCTTCTCTCACAAACAGTTCTTGGGCCAGGCTCTGGGATTCGCTGGGTGTGTGTCCCGTAGACTCCACTGCCAGAGAGAATGAAATGGAATGTGAGCTAGTGCTAGGCCCGGGGTGTCATTTCCTCCCCCTGACGATGTGGTTCAACTCTTTAGTGGGGCTGGATTCCTGCAGGGTGTGGCCCCGGGGTGGCCCAGGGAGATCCTCAGGCTGGATTCTGATTTGGTAAGTTTCGCGTGCTATTTCAGGGCAGAGGGATTTGATATATTGGGCGAGTAGACAGTAGTAATTGGCATTGCGAGCAAGTAGTGTCAGATTTCTGGGATGTTCAGGGAGAGCTGGAGTGAACTGCAAATGCCTCTTGGCTTTGACAAATTGGACCGATTTTGTTTTCAGTGGATCAGCGAAGGATAAGCAAATAGGAGCAGCTGGGAGGCTTTGGAAGGAGTAAGATGTGCACGTTCCCCCTAGTTTTTTTTTTCTTTTTTTTAAGAACCACTAAAAAATAAAAATAAAACAACAACAACAAAAGAGAAGGCTGTGCTCTGCAGGAAGGAAGGACGAGGCGTGGAACTGAATAGCTCCCTTCTGAGGAAGGAAGCTTTCTTTCTCTGCTGTTTTGTTTGCACTTTCAGTTAAGGAATTCCCAAAGTTTGCAGGTTGGGGATCACGACCTCCATTTTTCCCCCCCTCCGTTGCCGCTCTCCAGAGGAAGGGAGGGCGGATGGCTCTAAATAACACTTTGGCCTTTCTGGAAATGTATCAGATGTTCCAGGAGGGAGCCTCGCTCACTCGCTCGCCGGAGCCTGCTGGCGGGGCGTGCAGGCTCACTTGGGCGCTCTCTCTCTCTCTCTCTCTCTCTCTCTCAGCGTTCACTCACTCTCTCTTGTGTGTGTTCTGTAGGATAGAGTTAGCGCTTCTTCTCGCCTTATATAGCCAGGTCTGGTCCTTAACGTTAACAGAAATCTAACAACAGGCAAGGGAGGGCTGCCAGAGAGCATTAATCAGACCAGTGTTTGGAATTTCATAAATGCTCTCACTTTGGGCACCAATTGAGCATCAGGAACAATACGAAGCTGTTTTCTAGCTTCCTCTCGCCCTCTCCCCAGCCCGCAGCCACTCATGCCCTGGCCTCTTAAACTCCTCTGCGCAGCCATCCAACTTGCTGCCCCAGAACTTTGTTGATTTTTTTTTATTTTTATTTTTAAACCACGTTTAATTTTTTTTTCTCTCTCTCCTTTTTAATTTCTCTGTGTCTCCGTCCACTCCAAGACCACAGGCGGAGCAGTAGCAGCCGGAGCCAGGACTCAGCAGAGGGGCTGGACGGGCAGGTCCCAGAGCAGTTCTCGGGCCTCCTCCACGGCTCCTCCCCGGTGTGTGAAGTGGGGCAGGACCCTTTCCAGCTGCTCCCGGCCACTGAGGACGCCGCCGCCGCGCCGGGCACCTGCCCCGACGCCAGCATGCAGCTGGAGGGGACGGCGCCACCCGCCCCCGGAGCCTCGCCACCCTGCACGCTGGACCCGAGTTGGCGAGGGGGCTACCCCGCGGGCCTGCCCACCAGCAGCAGCCAATCGCACCCCGAAACTTTGACTCAGAGCTCATCTGCACACCCTGCCGGTGCCGAGGAAGACGGAGAGGAGCGGAGCGGGGCCAGGAGCCGGGCCCCTCCCACCGGCCGACCCAAAGCCGAACTCAAGCTCAGCCGCAGCCTGTCCAAGTCAGACTCAGATCTCCTGACCTGCTCCCCCACGGAGGACGCCGCCATGGGCAGCCGGAGTGAGTCCCTGTCCAACTGCAGCGTCGGGAAGAAGCGGCTGGAGAAGTCACCCTCCTTCGCCTCCGAGTGGGATGAGGTAAGGCCTCCTGACGTCACGTTGCCCGGGGCTGGCCGCAGCCCACCGCGACTCCCCTGTGTGCCGACTCCTGGGAGTGGGGTGTGGCCGGTGGGGTTTCTGAAGGGTCTGGAGGGTTCCTGAGTCCCGGGGAGCAGGGCAGATGGGTTCCGGTGAAGTTGGGGGCCAGGGGCCCAGCAGGCAGGACCCAGGGTGCCGCTGTTCCTAGAAAGGACCAGTGTTGGGAAATACTCAGAGCCCCTCAGCCCAGCGAGGGAGCCCTCCTGAGATGCTTCCGAGAGCTGCCGGGCCTCCCACGGTCAGGAGGGGAAGGAAAGGGCTGGGAGCCCCAATGGGCAGGGGCGGGGCGTGGCGCTGGGCAAGGCTGCTGAAGGGGGCTCCGAGGGGAGCCTCCTGACCTTGGTCCTCCCCGAGACACATGCCTCTCCCTGCTGAGGCCACATTCCCCGGCTGGCACAGCAGTAGGGCTCAGAAACCGAAATTAGCACAGGGGAAAAACACGCGGAGGGGGGCCCCTAGGTTCCTTTCATAACCAGAACAGCGGCTCGAGACTAGTTGGGAATATTTACCCAAATATTTGTCGGTGACCTGCAGCTTGTCCTGCTCAGCCGAGGAATGTGTCCCTCGGAGATTGGTAAGCGCTCAGGGAATGCTCGAGTGCTCCCGTGCAAACTTCTTGCTGGGAGGAGAGTGGCCTTTGAAGTGGCCTGGGTCTGTGTCCCGGATCATTTCCTAGCAATGAATTCGGCTCCCTGAGAGGAGAGGGGCAGTGCAGCCGACAGGGCCGCTGAGACGTGTGTGGACTCCGTGGCCAGCCCCAGCTCTCTTCAGGCTGCAGCTGTGAAGTTATGTAAACCAGGCTAATCCCGTTTCCAGTGGGAACATGGAGGGGCGATGCTTTGAGTTTCCTTACCTCTCTGGCTACTAGGCAGCTTGGGGAACTGTTTAGTCTGCCCAGAGGAATCCTCCACAGAAGGTTCTCACTGGGTGCGAATCAAGATTTTGTGAGCCTCTGCAGGATGCCAGGCCTCTGCCGGGTCCTCAGTGTGAGAGCAGGTGCCAGTCCCAGATTACACACAGGTGGGTGTGTCGGGGGGAACTCGGCTCGCCCCTCACTTCTGACAGGCCCAGTCCTTCACCGCCAGGGCGGGGATGGGGCAGGTTCTGAGTGAGCTCAGGGCAGTGTGATGGGAAGCGGCTGGGGAGGTCGGTGGCTGCCACTCGAGAGGGTGAGCAGGAGTGGAGAGGGGTGAAATTTGACACCGAGTTCAAGGGCCAGGTGATTGGCACAAACCAGGTTGAAGCCAAGGAAGGGTGCCCAGGTGGAGGGCACAGTCTGAGCAACGGTGCGGTGTGGGGCTGGGAACGCCACAGTCATTCGCTTCTTAATAGTTTGTGAGCCTGAGAAGTAAGGGAAGGAAGGAAGTGAGATTGGGATCAGTGAGTGAGAGGCCTGGAACATGAAACTGGGAAGTGAGTATTTTGTTTGCTGTCTCAGAATTCTCCAAGTGGGCTCTGGAGGCGGCTTTGGCAATGGAGTGATTTTGCTCTTCCTCCTGGCTCCGTCTCCTGAGGAGCCCCCTGGCCCAGTGCGTCAGGAGCGCTGGTGGATTGGCACGGGTTGTGCGTGCCCTGTTAACACGCAGCATTGCCGGCGGTCTTGTGGGTCCCGCTGCTTCCTCCCAGAGAAGGACCATGGAATCACCACAGCACAGCCCAGCCGTTTCTGGTTTCTGACTTTTGTTTTGGGGCCACAACTGGCAGTGCTCCTAGATCAGTGCTCAGGGGTTCTCCTGGAAGTGCTCTGGGGAACATGCAGTGTCAAAGATCGAATCTGGGGCTCCTGCATGCAAAGCATGTGTGTCAGCCCCCTGAACCGTAGCCCCGGCCAGCACAGCCTGGCTGAACTGAAGTTGGCTGGCTGGGCTAATGACCACTCTCCCTTGGCACCTCAGTGAGAGGAGGTTTGTATGCTGGTGAGAACGGTGGCCTAGCTTTAGAAGCAGGCTTGCTGGACCAGTCTGAATGTGTGGCCACACCATTCAGAGCTGAAGACAGGCCGAAGCGAGAGCATAGCCCGGGACCTGTGGAGTGCTTGTTGTTGCCTTTCTTGCTGTTTCCTGTTTGTTTTGGTTTGGGGGTCTCAACTTGGCTACACTCAGGGCTCACTCCTGGCAGTGCTCAATAAGCCATATTCTGTGCAGGGAATCGAACCCAGGTTGACTGTGGGCAAGGCTGTACTGTCTCTTCAGCCCCTGGTTTTGTTGTTGTTGCTACACATAGCAGTGCTACAGGGTCATTCCCAGCAGTGCGCAGTCGGGGGCCGGGTGTGCAGGGGGCCGGGTGGTGCCGGGGATGGAATCTGGGCACTTTGCACTCAGCCCCTTGAGCTGTTCTGCCAGCTCACAGTTGCAGTCTTCCTGGGAAGAATCTAGAAGCTATGGCTGTGTTTGCATAGCAAAGTGTTCATCTGGCCTGGCATTATTACTGACCATGGCTTTTGCTTGGTTATCTCCAGCTCCAGGGGAAACTCAGAAGTCCTCCCCCAGTGGTCGGCTCTAAAGCCAGGGCGCCAGCAAACTCACCTAGCGCAGGGCATTGGTCCTGCTGTCCACCCCCCCACCGCCACCACCACCACCACTGCCTGCTTTCCTTCATCCTGCTGGTTTTTCCTTTGTCGTCACTACATCCATCCGCATGAGGGAGGAAGGCTGCTCCGCCCCTCCACAGGGTGCCTGCAGGGAGAAGGAAGCCCTGGGCCCAGGGAAGCCCTGAGTCCCTGCAGAGGTGTGTGTGTCTGTGTGTGTGTGTGTGTGTGTGTGTGTGTGTGTGTGTGTGTTGGTCACCTGGCTGAGGCAGCTCTGAGCCCTGGCCTCACCTAGACCACCCCCCTGGTGTGGGGGGCTGTGCAGAAGCCTCCCTCTGGCTTTCCTTGTGGAACAGGCAGTCCCGTCTGTTTCTATGTTGTTCTTAACCAATTAGGTGTGTAAGTGCCTAGGCCATTCCAGTCATGCAGGAGGGCTTGAGTACGTGGTGACTGTTGATATTGTTACTGTCCCCTGGGACTTTGGAGGATGGGACCCGGGGCCTGAAGTATTGCTGGCCTTAAGAACAACAGTGCCGCGGATAGGGCGTTTGCCTTGCATGCGGCTGACCCAGGTTTGATCCCCAGCATCCCATGTGGTCCCCTGAGCACTGCCAGGAGTAACCCGTGAGCATTCCCGGGTGTGGTCCAGACACCAAACATCAAGAAAGATGCTGCTCTTAAGGATGGTCTGGTCTGGAGAAATGGGAACTCAGTGATGGTCTCAACCTGTGTTCATCTGGCCTTGCATTATTACTGTTCATGGGTTTTGCTTGATTATCTCCAGCTCCAGGGGAAACTCAGAAGTCTTCCCCAATGGTCAGCTCCCTCCTGCTTCACCTCAACTCCCCCTTTGTTCCACCTTTGAGACAAAAGCTCCTCCCACCTGCCTGGGAACATGGGATCCCACTTTGTTCTCTGAGGAACTTGATGAGCCTGACTCCCTGGGAGGAAAGCAGAGGGCAGGGGTCTGAGCCCTCACCGCTGTTTGCTTTTCTTGTCTTATGTGTGTCGGGTGGGTGGTTTGGTTGGATGATATTGCGAAGTTGGGGAGCACAAGGGGCTGATAGATCTGGGGGGGGGGGCAGTGCAGCCCCTCATTGACTCCCCAGGCAAGGCACTGCTAAAACCTGCGGCTTCACTTCTGTCTCTTCCATTCCAGTCTTGGTAACAAAGAAGCAATAGATTTTGTTTTCCGAGGGAGAGGGCGAATGCTGGGATCAAACCCAAGGTTTGGTCATATATGCAGAGCATGTGCTCTACCACTTAGCCACATCCCCGGGCCCCTAGGGTTTGCTTTTAAAATAGCTCAGCCTAAGGAAAGATCCGGATCCAAGCAGCAGAAGCTTTCCTCTGTTGTTCTCTTAATGATCCCTGGTATACCCTGAAAGTTGAGAAGCCGCACGTAAATGCAGCTTTCAAAATAAACAGGAGTTAGAAAATTATCTCCAGCTCTCTGCACAGTTAGCTGCTGTTAACATTTGATGGCATCCAATTTTGGTCTTCGTGTATTTGTTGGTTTACAAAGGGATTTTCTTTCTATTTTGGGGTGGGGGTGGGGAGTGTTATGTCACACCCGTCTGTGATCAGGTGCTCAGGCCTCACTCTTGGCTCTGCACACAGGGATCATTCCTGACAGGCTTGGGGTACCATATGTGGTGCCCAGCATCAAACATGGGTCGGCACGTGCAAGATGTGCAGACTCTCTCTGGTGTTCTGTCACTCTAGCCCTTTACAACAAGCATTTCCCCTAATGGCTGCGCATTAGAAATATTTCACCATGACTCTGTTAGCCCTGGATTCAGATCTTCATTCTCAAATGCTTAGTATTTTGCTCTATGGCTATATATAAGAGTGGTTTGTTCTTATGTAAGCTCTTCTCTGGTTATCAGATAATGGCCAGAGCATTTCCTGGGTGCCCCTCTGGTCCGTTCCCTACCCTTGCACCCACCCGTCCCAGGAGGCCACCATTTCTGAATACCTTCTGGTATCCAGCCGTGATCTTCTTGGCAGGGGCGCCGGCAGTGACTCGCTCCCTGGTTTCTACAGACATTTTCAGCACTATTTCTGTCAACACAAAGCAAGCAGAGAGGGCCGTGTACCCGAGCGGTCAGCATGGCCGTTGCAAGGAAATTGTAAATTAATCTTCATTTGCCGCTGAACCAGAAGGCAAGGATATCTGGGGTACTGGGAAGCAAGGAAGATTCATCGTTTAACTTGAAGCTGTTCCAACTACAGGGAAGACACCTGTTCTCCTTTGCTCCAGGCTGGCAGTGTGGACAGCACTTCAGCCTTTCACAGCCTGAACACACACACACACACACACACACACACACACACACACACACACACGGTGAGCAGCAGCAATTAACGTCTGAAATAAATACCTTGTAAGAAGCACAAAAATCACTTTCTG